GGAAGAAAATATGTGCTCTGTTAGATCAAGATAACTTTGTATATGTAGAATACTGTTGTTCCAAGAAATTGTTTTTAGTCAGATCTATGTTCTAAACATTGCTATGAACCCTTACTCACACTAGCAATTTTCTTGGCAAATTTTTTCTCATGATACATGTAGGAACATTGATGAAAATACAATAGTAACTGTATTTTCTGTTGTGACATTTATTTGAAAAACATCATGATCACAGTCCTGAAGAAAGTTGCTAGTGTGAACAATAGTTACAATACAAATCTTGTAGAAAGTTGCTGGTGTGAACCACATCTTGGCAGTATCTGTTGCACGGCATCAACTAGCCACCCAGACAAAAGTGTTATATTACTGTTATACCTAGTTGTTGTAAAAAATTCAATATATAGCATATTGCTTTATATCACACTAATGATCAGATGTTCATACTTTACTACAATATAATATAATAAAATGCAATACATGTAATATCATTCATTAATGTTAAACATCTAATGAAACTCCCAAAACAAAGCAGATGTAAGGATTAGACAATTTTCCCCTGACTATGTTACATGATGGTAATGTTATCTATCAGTATTTATATCTCAATGTTGGCCAGATAACTATTTTAGCCAGAATGTTAAAACTGCTATACTACATTTTTGTTCACATGGCATGAAACATGGTGCTTGAAATCAGTTATCATATATCCATACAAAAAGATATTGAAATATATAAAGCAGCTACAGGAAATAGAACTAGAAAACATTTTATAGGTGGTTATTAAGGAGATAATTTTCTGACTCTCGACCAGCACTGGATAACATTCCCAAGTCAATCAAACTATTCTCAACTCAATCAAATTATTCCAACTCATAAACAATACTTGTGCTCTTATGTAATGTGAATTGTTATTATAAGGCAATACATTCTTCCATCTTTGTTTCATCAGCAATCTGTATTGTTTCTTCTATATTTATTCCTCTCTTTAAATTTGTTTCTGATTGGTTAACCACTATATGGTTGTTATAACCACATCTCCACACTCATCACCATGTTTATTCGATGTTAGTGTTGTACAATCTGTAATGTTTCCATGAGCTCAAGGTAACCTATAGTACAGCATAATAGAAATTTTATTCAGTATGTTCAATCATGTCATGTAAAAAAATTCAATATATTCTGCTACCGGAAAGTTCATCTGGAGATGCCTGATTTATGAATTACAAAACAATAATCATCCAATAACTCAATCCCAGTAGCATTTTGATAACAGCTCGCCATATAAAGATGAAATCAGTTTTATCCTTGACTGAATTAAGCTATAGTACTGAGCCGAGGTGAAGTACTACAAATATACTACATCAATACATGTCTCGAACAAGTTGAATTATAAACTCAGAGATCCCATCTTTTCTCAGACAGTAAACGAATAAAATTGCCCTAGCTTAAAAATGGTCACAAATTCACAGTGAATTAAAGATCCAGTCTCGACTCTGGAGAACGAAATAATCAAATGTAAAACAAATATTTACCTTTTATATGACAGTATATTAAACTTCGACATGGCGAAGCGCTTGACTGAATTTCAAATAAACACACTTTAAAGAGATTGTCTATTTGGCGTGGGTGGGTGGGTCGTGCGTCGTGCGTCGTGGGTCGTGCGTCGTGGGTCGTGCGTCGTGCATTAGTAAATCGCAAAAAAAATTTAAAACCGAACTATACCATGAACTGCCAAAATTTTGCACCAATCTTTTTAGCTATATGCCACATCTCTATTAACTATGACCACATTGGCAAAAATGCTGGGTGAACTTGTGGGTGGTTGAATTTAATTACAGTAATTTAACTTGTAAAAGACATCGGTGACCTTCAAATTTAGGCTGTTGCGGTATATCGATAAACCGATAATTATCTTTTTTTATCAAAATACCGATTACTCGATATTGGAATTTTCAATATATCGGAATATCGATATTTTTCGGTATTATCGATATCACGTTTACGTTTGTATATTTAAACGCCATATCAAGCTTTTTCAAATTTCAAGCGCTGATTGAAGTTACTCAGAAGGACAAAGACGATCAATGTGTTAACTCCGCGGGAAAATCCGTCAATTAAGGTTAGAACGCGATCTAAAACGTGTTTGTTTATACGTTACGTTGGCGTACGTTGCAAGGTACGGTAATATGTCATTTCGCTTAGTTATAGGTAATATGTCATTTCGCTCGTGAACTTTTAGAACGTAAACAACGGTGGATTACAAATGTTTTAGAAAAACAAGAACTAACCTCATTGGACATTGTTAGTTTTCTGCTGATATATGACGATCTTTGTTTCGAACTCGCAGTTGAATAAAATGTTTTGAAACAATTTCTCGGACAAAAATATCACACATGTTTCATCCGATGCGGTAATCAATGCTAATATTAGGTAATATGTATTTTCAATTCGTAAAGCGGACACATCACAGGCTACTGATCACTGGCCTCACACTTTATTGAAAATATCACGCACCCAATGAGTCAAAGCTGTTATATCGTGGCTGTTTGGCAGCATTTGAAAACAGAAAATTTTGCATAAAATTAAGCAAATTTTGCATAAAATTAAGCAAAATACAATCGCGAAAAATATCGGTATTATCGGTATTTTTTTCCGGTATCGGTTTTCGTTTTGTTTTTCAAATACCGCAACAGCCTACCCCCAATTTTTATTTCATAAAATGATTTCTTTTAGTACACTCAATTGTTTTGACAATTTATTAAAATACCGATCTAAATGGTGAATTTTCCATTTTTTTGAAAACTGTGTCACTCCATTTTTTTGAAAACCGTTACGGCCTACTTTAGGGGTCGATTACATGGAGAACTTTCAACCCCGGGGTTGAACTCTGCCCTGTTAACCGGGTTGAAATCTTTTGCGATTACATGGACGATTTCAACCCCGGGGTTGAAACGCTATACTATACGTTCTCGGCATCGATTCCCGGAAGTAAAAAGGCCTTTATTTTGTTTTCTTGTAATAAATAATCTCTACCACGTATGCTCGAATAACTCATGATAATTTCAACCCAGGGCTGAGTTCAACCCCGGGGTTGAAATTTCAACCCTGTTAGCTGAAGCAGGGTTGAAATTTCAACCCGGGGTGAAATTTCAACCCTGCTAGCTGAAGCAGGGTTGAAATTTCAACCCCGGGGTGAACTCAGCCCTGAGTTGAAAATTTTGTCATGTAATCGCGCGTTTGATTTTGATAGAGTTTTGTATTACAAACAGGGCTGAAATTTCAACCCAGTAAACAGGGCTGAGTTCAACCCCGGGGTTGAAAATGCTCCATGTAATCGGCTTCTTACGCAAACGTGAATTCCAATTGCAACTTTCATGCTTACTTTTGTCTGTTATCTGGGCGGTATGCTAGCTCGTCAAAATTTTAAGTATTTAAACGGATAACTGCATTGAAAACTCCTTCAAAACAGTACATTTCAGTTTAAGGATTCTTCAGTCAGGGTGGGGCAAAATTGCTAAAGGGCCCATTCTCTCCTTGTCCTCCCCCATGCAGGATAGTATACGATCGCCGAAGGTGTGAGCCGAGTACCGTAGGCTCGAGTTAGCTAGTGATGGTTTTAAAATTTGGATCTCTGAAATAGCATTTCGTGCATTCTAAGGACACATTTTTTAAAAAAGTTTTAATCAGGTGAAATTTGTAATAAATTGCATGCTAAACATTCAAACACAACATAAGTTCAGTTCAAACACAACATAAGTTCAGTTACTAGTATGCTGCACCAACAAATTTAGTTTATTAAACTTTTTTTCAATGTTAAACTCATTTACTCATACAAGTCCTAGGGACCTGGCTTTGGGGCAATAGCCATTGCCATTTTTTTTCACCAGTCCACAGTATTAAAAAATGCCTTGCTTCAAAAATAGCACATTACACTCATGGCATAAAATTAGATTACAACACGACTGGATAACAGTCTTACCAGAGGAAATCATGAAAGTGGCAATTGCATGCAGTCGCGTTTGCGTAAAAGTAGGCCGTACTGAAATTTTCATATCTCAACGGGCATTTTAGGTATATTTAAACCGATAACTGCATTGAAAAGCCCTAGAAAAACAGCACATTATAGTAGCATAAAATTTGATTACTACATGCACAGGTAACCGAGAAAATTAAGCATGAATGTTGCCATTGTAATTCGCGTTTGTGTAAAAGTAGGCCGTACTGAAATTGTCATATCTCAACGGGAATTAACGTTACTTTTAGGATGATAACTGCATTAAAAAGCCCTTGAAAAACAGCACATTATAGTGGCATAAAATTAAATTACTACATACCCATGCAGATAACAAAGAAAAATAAGCATGAAAGTTGCAAAGGTTGGGATTTTAATTCTGCATGAAAAATACAAATACCACTCTATATGCCTTCATATCCGCATTTTACCCTCTCACCGTCCGTTCGCATTTTACCCTCTCATCCGTCCGCATTTTACCCTCCTGTCCGCCCGTTTTTTACCCTCTCATCCATCCGTCCGGCCGTCTGCCGTCTATCTGTCTTAAAAAATATTTCCATTGTCTATACGACGCTCAACACCGTACCCACGACGCACGACCCACGACGCACGACCCACGACGCACGACCCACGACGCACGACCCACGACGCACGACCCACGACGCACGACGCACGACCCACCCACCCACGCCATTTAGCCATCCTCCACTTTAAAGGCATCCTTGTTGGCGTAATATTCTTTCTTTCTTCTCATGTTGTTTCAATGATTTGTTATTAATCGGATTTCACTTCATAAAAGTCACAAATCGTTGGAAATCTCTTCGAAACTGTGTATTCCCACTCCTTGTATCAACAAATATAGAATCGCGCGTATATTACGCAATCGAACTGGAAACCATGGAAACGAGAGATAAGTAGTCTACCAAAACAAAAAGATCGCACATGCGCAGCACGGACTGTTATCATAAAAAAATTACCTTTAGCAATTCGGGAAAAGGTATTTCGCTGACCTCAGAATGACATTTCATCAAAAAAATTTCTTCAAGATTGGTTTAGAAACAAACTTGGAGTAGTGTTAGGTTAGGGTAAGGATTAGGGTTAGAGTTGGTGTTTGGAATAGGGTTAGTGTTTATAGTAAGGGACCGTTCATTATTTATACCGGGGGTGGTACCGAAGAGAAGCGAAAAACACTGTAACTTTTTTATTTACCCAACCTCAACATTGGTCAAAATAATGTTTATCCAACCCATGTGTTACTGTAGTAACTGTACTTAATAATAATTAAACACACAAGATTATGATGACAGAAATTAATTGAGTTGCCTAAATTCTAAAAGCTCACTCACACTCAAACTCGCTGATGTGCCAAAGCAATCACGTTCCTGCTGATCAATAATAGAGTCCTTCCTCATCACTGATGGTCTAATTTAATTTAACAACTTTATTGGAACCACAATATAAACAGATAAAAACAAAACAACACACAAAAAAGCAGAACTGACAATCAAACAGAAGCGAGTGATAAATAGTAGAAACTGTAGAATGATATAACTCAGCTATGTAAGCGAGTAGGAAACAATATCATCGTGGAATATCATCACTCGCCTCTGTTTGACAGTCGTCACAGTCCGCATTAACGATTACTTGAATAGCCCTATTCACATTAGAGGCGGACAAGTCGTCTAGACGAACAAATCGTCTCTCAAAAATCGTCTTCACAGACGGACAAGCAGTCGAACAAATTCAGACGACTTGTTCGTCTAAAATTTTGTCCGACACGTTTTCACATGATTTGTCCGACTAAAAGACGATTTTGAGACGATTTGTTCGTCTAGACGACTTGTCCGTCTTCTAATGTGAAAACGGCTATTGCCTATGTGCAAGGCATCGACAAGTCAAAAGTTCTATTCAGCTCCAATTTAAACATGTCCTTAATTGACCTTTTAAAGAGCAATAAACTACGGAGAGGTCTCTCGGAGGAGCAACGAGAATGGTCTTGTTCCAAAGCTTGACGATGCGGTTGAAATCCAGGTCACAGAATAAGGTACACAGAAGGCCGACTTCTTCGTTTTTCCTATGATTTTCCTATGATTTTGGCGTAACTCGTGATTCGTCATCAAATACTGACGCCATGGTCCTAGCCAGTGCGCGTTTGAGAGGCATTCACCCCCTGATAATATTCAAAATGGCGGATGTCCAGGGGGGAAATGCCTCTCAAACGCGCACTGGCTAGGACCATGGCGTCAGCATTTTGATGATGAATCATGGCGTGGCAGCGGTTACTCGAGTCGACCTTCTGTGTACCTTATTCTGTGTCCAGGTGATCTCGTGTTCGTATTTTAGCCAATCAGCGCTCAGAAAGGGTTGTCGGAATAGAAATCCATTTTGATGTATTCAGTCAATTATATCTTTCGTTATTCTTTATGAAACTAGTTGAAATTTTGTAATTATGTTTGGTTATAAGAACTCTAGCTCTGACAAAAATATGGAATCGAAATAAAGTATATTACAGGAGATATTCAGTTGTTTTAATCATAAAATGGATTTCTATTTGACAACTAGTGCCAGTACTTTTCCGCGTATCAAGATCATCTGGTTTATTACTATTAGTTTCGTACCACAAGATGTGGCACTCATCAGATAAATTAGCCTTATGACTACAGCAGAAAACCTACAGCATTTATGTACAAGTGGATGAAAGCTTTAAATATATATATATATATATATATATATATATATATATATATATATATATATATATATATATATATATATATATATATATATATATATATATATATATATATAGTTTAAGATTTTGGTTTACGAAACACAAACAGTGCTCAATACCATCTACACAGCCAGAAATCTCACAGGCCTGTCGCAAGCTGTTGATTTTACCGGCTTGCGGCAAGTTGTCAACAAGTCGCGACAGGTCTGTTGGTTTCGTCAGGCGGTAACAGGCTTGTGGGAACAGGTCTGTCGCAAGCTGTTGACAACAGAGCCGTAGCGACTTGTTGAAACAACCCGCTACAAGCCTGTTACTAACAAGAGATAACAGGTCTGATAGAACAACTTGCAGCAAGTCTGTTGAAATCAACAGGTCTGTTCCAACCTGTTCCAACAGACCTGTCGCGAGTTGTTTTTGTCAAGTCTGCAGCAAGCTTGTTATCAGACCTGCGACAAATCTGTCCACAACAAACAATTTTTGTCCTGTCACAACAAGTTTCAACAAGCCTGTTGTTGGGAAACAAATCGAAAATGTGAGTAAAGACTGTGGTAAAGAGAAAAATCGCACGAAATGGACACGTCCGGCTTCACTTTCTCATTCAAGGCAATATTAAATCACATGCAGAGGAGATGAGGCTATGTGCACACGGTAACGTAAACACTATCAATTTACAACAGAAGCTGTAGTTTATTTAATATATTGGAGATATATTTTCCTTTGGATCGTGTGAACAGGGTGTCAAAACGATTAAAGGAAAAAAAGGTTTTGAAAACGCTGGGAAACGACGCGCGTGTGAACATATCCTAAGTATCTACTCTGTGATTAAATGCAAAAGCCGCTGTTTTTAACTTTTTATATTTTTAAAAAATAATTCCGATTTCCAAAATCCAAATTCCAATTTGCTGACGTGTGCTATCGTTATATTTCTTTAATCTGATTGGATAAAGGCGTGTGCACACGTCATCATTCCTTGTTGCAATTGGACGAAATATTACAAACATATCAATCACGTAATCATGTTTAGTTGTTTTTGAATTTTGAGCCAAACAAAATTTCAACAACTGCCTCAAACAAAATCAAACAAGTTCAAAGCTGTTTTGATTTTTGAAGAAACTGTGGCAATGAGAATACAAGATCTAGAGCTTAAGAAATGAAAAATACATGAGCAACCGAGTGTTCACTGCAACGTTCTTCATTGTTCAAATGAATATGAAATTCGTTATATACAATGATTTCTTTCCAATTTCAAGTGAAATCAGCGAGCGAGGAAGACGCCTTATTGAAGCTTTGTGTTATTGTATGTACTATTTTGAAGAAAAATATGCAAGTAGGTTGTCATATTTCAGTCGTACTTAAAGACCAATTAATTTTGAAAATTGTTTATGGTAAGAACCTTTCTTTAATTTGTCGTATTTGTTTTGCTCAAAAATTATCTCGCAAGTTTGTTTATAAGTGTTTTATATA